TTGGTTAGGTTGGCCCGTTGGCCCTTTGTTGAAATGTCAGATGGCATATTGTTGGGCCAACGTGGTTATTAGAGTATGCCAACTAACAGCCAACCTTAACAACTGTTTGGTTAGGTTGGCCCAACGTTGGCATATTGTTGGGCCAACGTAGGTATAATTGTATGACAACTAACAGCCAACCTTAATAACTGGTTGGTTAGGTTGGCCCAACGTTGGCCCTTTGTTGAAATGTCAGAGGGCATATTGTTGGGCCAATGTAGTTTTTAGTGTATGCCAACTAACAGCCAACCTCAACAACTGGTTGGTTAGGTTGGCCCAATGTTGACCCTTTTTTTTACAATGTCAGATGGCAAATTGTTGGGCCAACGTAGTTATTACATAGAAACATTTGCAATTGGTTGAGTGATTCTTTACATAAACCTATTCTATGACTGTTTAAAATAATTAATACACAATTCAATCTGCATTCATAATGCATACATGGACATGTTCAATGAAAACATTACTAATGATTCACTGTGATAATATTTTATAAACATCAATTCAATCATAATATACAAAATAAATTTTAAAATAGACAACAGAGGTAAATTATGAAAAATTATCAATTAAAAGTTCTTAATCAGGGCTCACTTCCTTTATTATAGTCATTTTGTTGTATTCCCGCTCTTTTTCCGTCCCACCTCCTGTAAGCAATTGAATCTGACAGCTCACTCCACAGTTTGGTCACGTGATAGCGAACGCCTAACTTTTGTTTCAATTTGATTATAAAGCTGTGTCATTTTGATTTATGTATATGTAGGCTTCATTCACATCCTATTCCTGAGAACGTATTCAGTCTTCTCTAAATTCTCATGAATACAACGCTCATGAAAAAAATCATAATTTCAAGGGTTTTATTTCAAATAAATAATCATGCATGTACACAAAAAATATAATTAGTTAAAATTTAAAATGTTGAATATATCAGATCTAAACAAAAACAGTCATCCAATTAAAAGCATGGACATAGAATGTCAGCTCAGCAGCTAAAATTGACACCATCTTTAGTTGGCAATATAATAATTGGGCCAGCGTTGGCCCAATATAAATATCCCATCTTTGAAACACCTAAACAAAAAAACACTGGGAAGATTGGGCTAGATACCACAATGTACTACCAAATTGATACATTTTTTGAGGCGATATTACAAACATTGGGCCAATATACTACTACCCATTTGACAAGACACTTATAAGGGTGTATAACAAACATTGGGCCAACGTTGGGCCAACATACTACTACCAGTTTGATAAGACACTTTATTAAGGATGTATTACAAACATTTGGCCAACGTTAGGCCAACATACTACTATCAATTGATAAGACGCATTCTTTATGGGTGTATAACAAACATCGGGCCAACGTTGGGCCAACATACTACTACCAACTTTAGAAGACACTTTCTTTAAGGGGGTATTACAAACATTGGTCCAACGTTGGGCCAACATACTACTACAAACTTTAAAAGACTCTTTCTTTAAGGGTGTATTACAAACATCGGTCCAACGTTGGGCCAACATACTACTACCAACTTTAAAAGACACTTTCTTTAAGGGTAATTACAAACATCGGGGCAACGTTGGGTCAACATACTACTACCAACTTTAAAAGACACTTTCTTTAAGAGTGTATTACAAACAGTGGGCCAACGTTGGGTCAACATCAACATCCCTCCTTCCTTGGGAAGTAAAGTGAATGGGCCTAGCTAACGTTGGACCAACGTTGGGCCAACATATGAATTCTGTCATGGTCGAGGAGGTTAATTGGCATGGTGATATTGGTCAAACATTGGCACAGCGTTGTTCCCCAAACACCAACGATACAACTTCTTGTCAATGTTGGCCCAACATAGTCTTGCTATCTGGGATTCTCTGTTTTAAAAGAAATCCAAGCAACTAACATATAAATTGATGTTCAGGAATTTCAACAACCCTGTTTGAAAGTAAGTATCCTCCTTGGCACCTGATCCCACCATGAATTTCTAGGCGATTTGTGTTTATTTCCTATTTACATTGGTGATGATCTGTGGATGCCCCAGAGAAAAGGTCGTTGTTTTAAAACGTAAGGGTATAAATAACAGACGTCCACGTATCTCATATCCCCTTCCCCACAATACAATCTAGAAGCATTAGTCTGGCCTCCGTACAGGGAGTCTCGGGGCTAAAAAAGATCTGGAATGTTTAGGTGTCGAACATGTCTTTTAAGTTTCATCTCTTTGAACTTCTTAATCGAATTTGTGCTCTCTGATCCTACGGACGGAGTACCCCATTTCCTCTATGGCAGAATTCCTTCTTACAGTTTCTTCGTGTAATTGTTTAAAGGTTAACTGGATCCTGTGAGGATGACTGTTGGTCTGTAGATTCGGATAGCAAGTGAGGCATCCGTGCCAATAGCTTCCGTAAAACTGCGTAGACGGTATTGGTAGCTTCTTCGTATCCGTCGACAGTATAACTTCCGATCTTGACTTCTCCCCAATTTCTTGCATGTTACATGTTGTGTCCGCTCTGCTCGCTCATTCATCTTAACCACCGGCAGGCTTTGTCAGAATATTGACGTGCAGGTTGAAACCCAAGGTTGGGGATTATGACAATGGTCTCTTTAGGCATGAAGCCTCGACGGTAAGCTAAATTGGCAGCACTGTCGAAAGTGATGGATTAATTCCTGGAAGGGAGCAGTTTGGTTAAGGACGCCCGTAGGAAATATGCCTTAAAATATTCCGAGAAAAGCAATATAGTGTTGATATCTTTTTTATTAGAATGTGTTTTAATTTATATGGGAAATGTACTAATGGATATGTGTGTACGGCGTGTCAACCGAGTTCGGCCAAAGCGACTTTACGACGCAATTCTTCGCGAAGAAATTGATTGTGTTTTCTTTAATTAAGACAAATTTCGTAACCCGAAAAGGGCTGGGAGCTACTTCCCCATGCCCGGGAATTATAAAATTTAGCCGTCTTGTGATAAACTTCGCGGATTTACACTATACGCATTGGAATAAAATAAAATTACACAAAATATCAACAGCACACAACTTGCTCCTAGCACTTTTCAAAATGGTATGGACAATAGCTAAATGTGTACAAAATATTATTTCATAGTTAAGTGGATATCTTTGAATTTTTGAGATTTTCGAGAGGTTGTGCCTGTGATTGTAGTTGGTTTGTGTATAAAAGTGCATGACTGCGGCTCTATAAGAGACCTATTCATTATCAATTAATCAATTATGCATTCAAAAATATGACTAAATTTTAGTCAGTTCACGCTTTTTGCGTGGACCCTGAGGTCCACGCAGTAAATATATAAGCGAAGTTAAACCGGATGCCCTGGGCAACCGACAGGCTACGCTTGCGCGAGAATGCTTCGCACCTTAGGTAACTTGCCCATAGAATAATTCGCCCTATTCGAATTAAAATATACCAGGCAAATCGCGCTTTTAATTCTGCATATCGCAATTCATTGGCAGATCCGATTTTCTCTCTTTTACATATACTTTTACAAACAAACTAAACATTGATTCTATGGCACAAGCAAATAGACTGTAATTTTCGGTAAACTTCCAATCGGCAATCCTCGGCTGACTCCGCTCCGCTTCATTCAAACCTCGGATGTGATTAGTGGAGGAATAAACAGATCCTTACATTTCTCCGCCGGAAACTGCCTTATCACTCATTTCATATTTCGCTCTGCATAACGTTCTTCGAAAATGTTTCTTAATTTATGCAATTCTTTATCGTAAATAGGTTTTGATTACATCCTCAAGTTAACAGGCTTTGAAAGCAAGAAAAAACTGTTGAGTGTGCCACAAAATAACTCCGATTTCAAATGTATGACATTTGAAAGAAATTCAAATAAGATCACATGACTGAATCAGCAAGATGGTCGATCATACTACCCATAGTCCTCTGCGGAAGTTTGGATGGTCGATCAGGAAAAAGAGCAACAAAGACCCAGATTTTAACATCATTTCCTGGTTGAAGATGAAGCAGAGTAATAAATGGGTAGGCTTTACCTGATTGGCTGAATTCAGGTATGTAAATATTTTCATTTTAAAGTAAAAATATTAATGTTTGAAATAAATGATGGAATGTGGGAATATTACAGAAAATATAGAAATACCAGGGGAGATTGTAGGAGTGGGGATTGATATTTTTGGCAGGGTGTCATTTACTGCCGATCGCTGTAAGTTCAAATTTGACCTATAAACGCCGCGGCACGGTATATTTTTTTCCATGCTTTTAATAAGTGCTTAGAACAAACTTTCAAATGATATCATAGATTTGTTTGAACGGGAATTAGTAAATTACTTGGAGGACATAAGGTTTGTACTCTTTTCCCATCACCGTTGACGTCCGAGGTTAGGTACGAGTCATCCAAGGAACTCCGAGTGGTAAACTTCGGCTTGATCTCGGTGATTAACGGAATAAAATGCTTTTTCATTTCGATTCAATATCAAAGGCCAAAATTCAAATATTTTTGTTTCAATTGATAGATAATTAAAGAAAACAACTTGATAATAACAAAGTTGACGTTTAAATACGTTTAAATGTTCATCTTTTAAGATAAAACGATGTATCCGAGACTATAAAATTGAAGATGGCGGCGCCCATGAAAAGTCGGCCAGGGAAGGACCGGTGTAACATAATTTGACAAGCGCCCAGTTGTTTTAGCAGATCGTAATTATGAAATAACCTTATTCGTGATTCCATGCATGTTTTTCTGTCGTGGCATAACCCTCATTTTGACAGTAAGAGTTCGTTAGATGACTGGAAGAAGGGTAATCGAGTTTGATGTTCATTGTTCTATTCAGAGGCCTCATATTCACATTGTGCTCAAAATGTCACTCCGGACCATTATTATTAAGCGAGAGAGCGAATGTGAGTGAAACTCGGGTTAGCTGGTTTTTATACATGCAGTGCGGAAATTGCTTGCAGCTGGCATCGATGTTCCCAAAACGGCAAAAGCTGAGAAAACCCAACAACTGTCCAAATTAGGGATGCAGTATATTTCAGTACTAATACACAGATTGCAACAGGTAAGCATTTATATTTATATTTGTTTATAGAATTTATGTTATCAAATTTAGGCATTGACAACTAGTATTAAATATTCATCACATCTAAATTTTTATCTGAAACCATGAAATGTTGCATAAAGCATATAATTAAGAATAGGATTTACGTGTTCATGCATCTCAACAATTGCATGTAATATAATTTGTATCTACTCTTTTTGTAGCTATAGTCTACAGTACTGTTTGGGAGACCCTCAGAAGATAAACAACTTGTTGTCAATATTAAATTTATTATCAATACATGAAAGAATTTTGAAGGTATGAACAGTTTTATTATATCATTTGGTAGATACACATAAAATACATGGTTACTGTCTTGAAATATAAGCGATATTTGGGCAAGGGTTAGGAAACGTAATAGAGGCCGAGGCTTGCCGAGCCCTCTTACGTTTTTTACCCGAGCCCAAATATCGCTTATATTTCAAGACAGTTATCATGTATTTTGTTTATCCTGCAACAAAATTTTACATTTGAGCGTCCAAAACTAGCTAATTCCGACAGATATAGGCACATCTCTGCAGTTGAAACTATGACGCCACTGCGTAAACATTGCAGTATAATTGACGTCACAATGCTTTTGGCACGTCGGAATACATGCACGAGGCTTTATTAGGGTAGCGACCGGATAAAGCTTTTGTTTATTAGGTTACCTTTATTAGATCAATGCAAAGGGTATTTGCAGGATAAATATATAAATTTGGTCGCTCTTAAATCAAATGTTTATCTGTCAATTTGCTTGGGAATCAATGTAAGAATTAAGAAAAATATTTGACTGCATGCAGTAGACTATATGTTATCATGAAAGTTAGACGGAATAATCTCTGCTGCAACTTTCAATGAAACACATGTATATTGTATGAAACAATCATCTGTATAGTATTTCTCAGTTTCAACAGGTGTTCAATGCTGAAAAATCAAAGAACTAGGGGTATTTGTGTGTGCTGATTGGTAAAGTTTTATGAAGAGGAGTCTGGCAGAGACCATGACATTTTCTCATCTAAAGCTGATCTATAGCTATGACAGGGATGGTGAAATAAATTAATTCATGTTTTCTCCGAAAACCAGTGATGGCAAACCTAAAGTGACTGGAATATCTAAAGTTGTACAAAATTTTGTCCAAAAGTTGTATGAATTTTTTGCTGCCACATGTATTTATCAATTGTACCTAAACAAGTTGGTCTGTATTATGGATCATCTACTAGTATCACACATACCTAATGAGATTACTGTCGAAGTCCTTATAGTATCTACATTATTTTATATCACAAGTACTATTTATTGTGTCATTAAATCTGGAAATTCATTTTCAAAGTCTGTATCAAATGTTTATCACTCTGCTTTGATACAATTTACTGTTGCTATAAATTTTTAACCTCAGCATTTCTTTGAAAAATTTTTATTCTTTTGTGTACATTTTTAAATTCTAGACAGAATTATAAATTCACATTATTTGCAGAATTTCAAACCATTTTCATTTATATTAATCAATTTTGTACATTGAGTTACTGTAAATGTATTATATTTAGCATGTACGCTATTTGGCGGAAATTGATTTTTGAACAAGTTAGCATAGATATGATTTAGCGGATAACTTAATGTTCTTATCAATATGTATATTTGCAAAACATTTAGCATTGTACTTGAATTAATGGAAGTTTCCGCCAAAAACACTAAAAAGAATACACAGCCAAATGTGATATATTATCTTTGACTTGAAAATAAGTAAAAAAAAAAGGAGGGTTGAAATAATTTAAGGGAAAAGTTTTGACTTTTCTAATGTATTTATAAATATTTCCCTTTAATAAAAATGTTAATGTTCCATGGTAACTAGACTTGCTCAAGTCTCTATGTTTTAGTCCTCTCTTTCATACTTTTTGATAATGTCAAACATAGATGTTTGATAACATTTAACTATGACAGAGAGCAGAGGACAGCAATACAAATAAGAACACAGAATTTTTAAAACTATTTATAAAAAATAAACAATAAAAACATAGAGACTTGAGCAAGTCTACATGGTAACAGCATGTTGCAAATGACATTACGAACATATTTTATATTTTTATATTTACAAAATGACCATTTTGTCACCTGTTAATTTTTTTTCTTAAATAACACTCTTACTATGTTTTGTTATTTATTATTCTTTAATTTTATTTAAAGATTACAATATAAAAGTAATTTTTGTGTCATTTTTATGGAATAAACTTGTTAGATACCAATTTCTTTGATTTTCCTTATATTTTAGTTTTCATCAAGAGTTATCTTCCTTAAATGAGTTGTAGCCCCTGATGACCCAATTTTTTGAAATTTGTCATGACCCATACTTTGATTTTAGAACATAAATTCATAGGGTTTCCAGGCATAAATTTTTACCCATTTGTACAATGGGTACCTTAAGAAGTTATACAGTAACTTAAAAATCTGAATGAAAAACGTCATTCAACAAATAGAGATATACTAGCTTTTAAAAGATAGAGCAAGTTTTCGCCGGCATTAGTTTGTGCATCAAGGCTTGCAAAATAATTTTATGTTTTAGCAAACAAAATATCGTTTGATAAAGGTCTGTAGCAACGGCTTTTAATGTGTGTGTGTGTGTGGGGGGGGGGGTACGGCAAAAAAAAAAATCTGCGTACTACAGAGCTCTGGTTCTCGTAAACCATCAGATTTCTATTTTTCATGATAAATTTCTTCCGTATAAATCCAGAATAGTCCAAGTCGGTATGAGTTACACGTAGCAAAATAACCCGATTTTTTAAACTGACAAAACTAAAGGTCGCTAATCGGAGATAAAATTTCACAATTTTGCTTTGAGACTACAATTAGTTAAAAGTAGGCAGATCATTGTAGAAAAAGTGAACAAACCTACATGAATATTCCCTACACCTAGAAATTCTCTTAATTGAATTTCAGTTAGAAAAAAAAGATGCATATGGTCCACGTATTGTAGTCCTTTTTTAAAGACAGCAACTTTTCACATTTACAAGTTGCAATAATATCTTGATCTATGTCTCAAGCGCAGAAGAACTGCGTGTCAAACAAGTCTATGACGTCATGTCTGTCAGTATTACGAGATCAAATTGGCTTTAATGTTACATTCAAATAGTGTTGTAATGACAAGATAAGTTGCACAATAATTTATGTTTAGGAGAAACTACTGTATATAAATGTAAGAAAAAGAAAATTATTTTTTCTTCACCGATATTTATGTGTGCAGTTTCACCGTGACGTCATAATCGATTACCCGAAGCTCTGCACAGACTGATATACCTTGGGAAGTCCTTAACCTAGAAACGGGGTCGATACATATGAATTAAGCTCTTGAGGGTGGCTCTAAACTGAACACAAGCTTATCTCAAAATATCGACGTCCGAGATTCAATACTCTTTAAATTCCTTTTGGAAATCAAACACTTTCCTGGCCTGCTGATGGTACCATGCAGTCAGAAAATCGTCCACTGATAGTCTTGTCGTTTGGATTATAGTGAGCTGCTGGTGGATAAGGTCCCACGTAATTCTGGTTCTGTTCTGTATTAAAAAAGTGCGGAAAATATCCTCTCTTGAGTTCAGTGTTTCAATGTGGAGATTTGAAGTTAATTTGTCATTACTGTGATACGGAAAAAATTGAAGTGTGTACATTTATGGTGTATGACTCTCCAGGATGGCATCACAGAACTCACAGAATTTGCAAGTATTGTAAAAGCCTTTTCTTCACTGGTTTGTAGATGATGAGCCTTCCATGGACACCTGTGCCTGTAGCTGGTGTGTGAAGTATTTCACATGGAAGTACGGGGCTGAGAACATAATGCCCCCCAGATAGATTAGAGAGACCAGGAAATGACCCTTAAATGAATGCCTGATCTGCTGTCAGGAAAATACGGACGGGAGCTGTAAATGTCAACAATGCCGACATTATCCTTGCTGTAAGGAAGGTATGGAGATCGAATTTAATAGTGGCCTGCTACAGAAGTTGTCCATTATGTAAATATGAAGGAAATCATTCCGAAGAAAACACATGGGGAGAGGCCAGAAAGTCCCTGATAAAACTACAGAAGAAAAATTGACTTTGTATTATATTTAAATGAAAAGAACTTTAAAACTTTAACATGGACTTGTTTTTCTTTCAATCAGCTGCCGATCAGCTGTGTTTTAAAGTGTCAAAAATAAGCAGCCAGCGAGGCAGTGAAACACTAGGATAACGTCATAATCAGGATTTGAATCGCTGCCAAAATTAGGATCTCACAAGGATATCACGCCTTATACCTTACACTCCCTTGAACCGCCTATCCCCCTCATGGGGGTGCACTCTGTTGACCCCCCTCCTCAGGGAGATTGACCCCCTATCCCTCAGGGGCAAACGTGCACTCAGTGACCTACCTAGACGGTTTATACTACTAGTGCGGTATTAATTTAAAAAACATAAAAAGTACATAAGACTAAGATAGGAATATTGTTACTTTTGGTGTCACACTCTTTAAGAATTAAAAAAAAAAGGTTTTCTAAAAACATTAATTTGCAAAAAAACATAAATCTTATTTTGGTGGAAAGGATCCAACGTAACATAATATTGTCTTTTAAGAAATCTCTGATTCAAATGAGTGTGGTTCAAGCAAATGTTCATAAGACCTGACCAAGATCATACGATTTATTCAAAGAAAATATTTTATACAATAAGCATGTTTAATGGCAAAAAGACTAATTGGTTAATGATGATTTTCAAAGGGTCATTGCCTGAAGTCGGTTCCATGGCTTCAGTTAAGGTGTGTCAAGTTGGATTTGGTTTAACATGTGAACGATCCCATACCATCCGTGTGAAGAACTGCGGACTTTACTCTGTGTATGAACTGACACCTCTTGCACTTTGCAATTCTGCTTACTGTTTTGGTACGGTAACATGGATTTTAAATTTCATATCTCACAAAGTAAATCGTAATGATCGGGGAATGCATATTTTCTTCTATTAATCATTATCCTTTTTTATTGAGTATATTAACATTGTTGAAATTTTGATTTGCTTATTCACTTTCTTTACAGAAAAGAACAGAACATGTACGTATGAACTTTAAACTCTAATCTTACCTTCAAGAATGATTAAACAACACGTGGAACATTTTACCATGCAAATATTTACTGTTAATATTTTTTTGTTATTGTATTTATGATGATATTTATTCATAAAACAACTTCTAGAAGAAAGGAAATTCTCAAATTTGTGCTTCAACTCCTAGGGAAATTTTCATGAATTTTTTTTGTCCGCCAAATTTAAATTCCCGATTTTCAGACATGCACTAACGAGGTTCTCAGAGATATGTTTCGTGGTAAAAAATATTATGTCCCATCCCACTCAAAAAGTATGATATACATCACTTTTATGTCACTTTGGAATTGTTCCTGTCTCTGGTTGATGAAAGATCTAGAATTGCACAAAATGCCAGTGGACAACTGTATAGTATCAAATAAATTACAAAGTGAATTGCTGTTTCTTGCTTTACGGCATTTGAGTATTGTTTTAAAAAAATGATAGTAATAAATTATGGCAGTAATAAAACCCTTAAGATGATGAAATATAATCAACAAAAAAAAAAAAAAAAAAAAAAAGAAACTCGTATTCAGATAAAACATGATAATCTAAAGTTTCAGTTTAAACAGGTCACAGTTATCCAAATATAAGAAAAGATAAATGTTCCATATACTTTTTCCAAAGGAAAAGATAGTGTAAGGCCCCTTTTTGACCCCTGGTTTGGAGTGTCTTTCAGAATGATGCAACAGTTTATGAATTGAAAACCACTTAACACCCATGCCACAAAATGAGTTTTGGTTTTAAGTTATGGGATGTACAGAGGGCACGGGAAGGTCAGAAAATTATCTCAATTTCTGAATTTTCTCATTTTTATGCACTTTTAATCAATTTTACGGCACATTTTCTTAAAAAAAAACCCATAAAGCTCAAGCTTGCCTATCTACCAAATTCATATATTTTAAACACAAGTATCAGATGCATCTTCTGCGTAAAAATCACAGATAGGCAAATTCGTGCTTAGTTTTCCGAAGTGAAACGTATCTCAAATTTGACGAAATTCCACCAGAATTGAGAAAATTCGGGAAAACGTCCTATTTCTTCTCCCTTTTGTGTCTACCGTTTAAGCTTTGAATTAAAATTAGTGCTGGTTTTACGACAAGCATTGATTTAAGGTCTTAACTACAAAATATCTGTCTTTTAACTGTGTTTTGATTTTTACATCGAATAGGAGGCCAGATTCAGCAGTTGCTTTACCTTGTCCTTTCTTTGATGAGCAAAACAGTATGCGTTTCTTTATTTGTTGAGTATATAATGAAATGAAATAATCGATGAAAATAAAGAAGAAACGTAATAGGGCTGCTAGGTTTTATTTTGGTAATAAAATTCTATTCAATGAATGATTAATATAGTGTTGAATAAGTTTTATTTTTATTTTCAGTCTTTCTCTTGCCATGTAGTTATTTAAAAGTATATATCATTATGAACCTTTAAATTAGGGAATAACTGTCTTCTGATTTGGTATTTGCGACCGTCACTGATAATTTAACGGTCGCAAACTGAGTTTTACCGGCGACACTTAAGCAAATACCAAATTAGAAGATAATTTCCATTCTTATGCAATCTATGCATTCAGTTTGTTGTTTTCGTCTTATTTTGTTGAGTTTTGTTATATGAAATAAGTCACGGGGCATTGTTTTTTGCGCTGCGCTATTATGACGTCAAAATGAAAAGCGTTCGCTCTCGTGAATGCTCGTTTTACTGATTCAAACAAAGCACATTGCCAATCAAAACGTGCTTTACAACGTATTTTCATTAGCATAAAAATATTTACCAATTTGAAAATTTTAAACACAGAGAAACTAATTTTAGAGAGAAAAATACAATTGTTTGAATTCTATCTGCATTTCTGCATTTCTTCTTCCATATTTCCATTAAATGCTAGTATTTTGATATTTCATAATTTCGTTTAATATCTTCAATATATTTGATTAAATACATTGTTATTTTGTCCGTTTGGAGCAAATTTTGACTTTATATATTGTAGTTTAAAGCATTTTTTTCTCCAACTAAACTCCTTTGTTAACTACTTTCTTAGATAAAAATTTCCTACTAATCAAAATAAAACACAGCGACCTTTTTATGCGCCCGGATAGATAGATCCGAGGCGAATATTGTTTTTGTCCTGTCTGTTTGTCTGTTTGTCTCTCTTTTGTCCACTCTAACCTTCGCCATATCTTTTGAACCATGAATGATAGAGACTCCATGTATTTGGTATGCAAATTCTTTCAAATGACACCAAGCTCAATGACCTTGTGACCTTGACTGTGACCTATATGCAAAAAATGTATTATTTTTTTTTAACTTTTTCCATAACTTTTGAACTTTTGAAGATAGAGACTTAATAAAATATGCATATTACACTAATTCAGTTTATTCAGGTGAAATCAAGGTAATGACCTCATGACATTGACTGTGACCTATATGCTAAAAATGTTTTTTTTAACTTTGTTGCCGCCGGGCGCATAGTATAGTGTTTCAAAAACATCTTGTTTTAGGTGTAGAAGGTGAACTCGCTGAAGTCTCAGTGGCCTACCATAATGTGACTTGGAAGAGTTTTATTACTAACATTGACATTAGAGGGAAAAACTCTCGGATCGAAAAGCACGAACCTACGGTGAACATGATTTGCAAATTTTCTTTATTAAATGAAAACAACCTTTTCTATCATATAACATGGTATGTAGACAACACGGAAGTAATAAGCAATCAGACAGTGTCAGCAGATGAAAAGGAGTCAGCGATTCTTAGTGCAAGTGATCTTCTTAGAGCAAAGAAAAAGGCAGGATCAAAGGTTTGCAGTTATTTTTTAAGCTTACTTCACATTGAAAGCAACTAATATTATTTTCACTAAAACCCCTGTCACACCGGGGCTGCGTCCTCACGGCGACTGCACGGCGTCCTCAAAAATGCAAAACGCCGAGATGATCGCAGTAGAGTCTCCTACAGCGCCCTGACAACGCGGCGAGATCTCCACTGAACGCCGTGAGTCGCGTAGGGTCTCTCAGAACGCCAGGGACGGCGATCACTTTGGGAATGCACAAAGTACGCGCCGTGTGATCGCGGTCTAATAAGAACGCAGTAGAAACGTAGTATGATCGCCGTAGCAGCGCGGTGAGATCTCCAACAACGTAGAGGGAGCTCCACACGAACGCCGCGAAGACGCACATGATCGCGGCAAGAACACAGTGATAGTAGACTGCGCTTCCACGCAGAGTTCCCCTCCCGGAGAGATCTTCGAGATGTCTCTGCGTTTGTATCGCAATTTACAGCGCTTGGAATGAGATTTATCTTCTTTAGATTTTTTCGACTGCAATAACACGGCAACATTGCGCTCCGATGGCGTTTCTTCAGCGTCCTTTGGCGATCACAATGCACTTTTACGGCGCTGTTAGAGCGTTGTCAGCTAGCTCACAAAACAAGAGCAATTGGATCATATTTGATCAGCAATAATTCCAACGTATTTGTTGCACTAGGAGCATTTAAGTTAAAAAAAATGGAAGAGAAAATTACACCAGAACTCTTTCTGTTGTTTCACTTAAATTTTATAGAAACTTTTCAGTGTGTTTATTTTTTATACATTCATAATAAAATCAAAGAAAATTTAACAACACATCTGAACCGATGAAATTGAGAAAAAAGGAGTTTAATCATAAAACTATTAATAATTCATTACTTAATTATTTACATGTAATTAGAACATTTTTAATTATTAAGAATATTTCTTGGCATGATTACGTCTTTTCATCGTGTAACTTGAAAAACAAAAATGTTTTCCATTCCTTCTGAATATATATCAGTGAGTATAGGACGTATTGTGAACCCAGCCAGCGCAGTAAGATCGCCGTGAACACGAGGTGAAAACTCCTTACGCGCCGTGAAAACTCCGCGGAAGCGCAGTCAATCGCCGAGAATCACGTCCGTCGCCGTAGGGACGCCTGACATCTTCATATTGTGAAAATTTTACAGAAATTTCAATCTTCCAGGGCGTTTCTTCTTCCTTATTTATTTCTTCGTAAAATTAGATTTGAAGGAGATGTTACCTTAAGAAAAAAGTATTTTAGTTTTGTTATTCTACCTCTCTTCAATTCTTGTGTTGATTGCAGTATATATGACGCTACGCGCGATGTTGGTGCCATTTTAGAAGTTTAGAATTTTACTTTATCTTAAACTCATCGGTGATTTATAAAAAAAAAATTACTCGCAATATGGGTGAATTTGGTATGAATGGATAGGTTTTTAAAAGAACTACCTGATTCTGGTAAGAAATTAACATTCAAATAATTTTGTTACAAAAAGTAGTAGTTTGAAACGCAAATAAAAAACATTTTAAGCGCGTAACGCGTTACAACTTTAAGCAGAGATCGCACATTTTTCGTGTTTAGAGCGTTCAAAATTGAATCTAGATTTTTCATTTTCCATGTCGTTCATTAACGATTTTGCATTAAATGTTGGCAAGACAAGAAATAAAAGGCGATATTTTTTACACATTAAGAATATGTAACGGATTTATCAAAAAACGTGCATATGTATGACAACAATAAATTAATTCATTTACAAGAAAGTCTAAATAGAAACAATTTATATCAAAATAATGTGTTTTTCATACATATTTGAAATATTTTTTTGATGTTGATATCAAACTGCATGCTTTGAAGCTAGTAAATGGATTAAAAAGTTCAACAGAAATGTCCAGCGTCTAAAATGACGTGCAAAACTAAGACAATGCCTGTTTTGAGTCATTAAATTATATTCGTTTTCACGTTTCACTACAGATAGGGATAGTTGAATATTCATAATGTGCTATTCTA